GATATTCCTGTGGGATAGCTGATAGAGTTTCTGTTTCACTAAGGGCTGAGTAACTTGCCCAGAGTCACACAATTTCTGATAGGTCTGTGACCCCCAGCTCTGGTCTTCTGACTCCCAGTATATTGTTCTTTATATTCAGTTCAGTTCAGTTCAGTCGCTCAGTCATGTCCAACTCTTTGCAACCCCATGAATCGCAGCACGCCAGGCCTCCCTGTACATCATCAACTCCTGGAGTTTTATCAAATTCATGCCCATCGAGTCGGTGATGCCATCCAGCCATCTCATCCTCTGTCGTCCCTTTCTCTACTGCCCCCAATCCCTCCCAGCATCAGGGTCTTTTCCAATGAGTCACTTCTTCGCATGAGGTGGCCAAAGTACTGGAGTTTCAACTTCAGTGTCAGTCCTTCCAATGAACACCCAAGACTGATCTCCTTTAGGATAGACTGGTTGGATCTCCTTACAGTCCAAGGGATTCTCAAGAGTCTTCTCCAACACCACAGTTCAAAAGCATCAATTTTGCGGTGCTCAGCTTTCTTCACCGTCCAACTCTCACATCCATGCATGACCGCTGGAAAAACCATAGCCTTGACCAGACGGACCTTTGTTGGCAAAGTAATGTCTGCTTTTTAACATGCTATCTAGGTTGGTCATAACTTTCCTTCCAAGGAGTAAGCGTCTTTTAATTTCATGGCTGCAATCACCATCTACAGTGATTTTGGAGCCCCCAAAAATAAAGTCTGACACTGTTTCCACTGTCTCCCCATTTATTTCCCATGAGGTGATGGGACCAGATGCCATGATCTTAGTTTTCTGAATGATAAGCTTTAAGCCAACTTTTTCACTCTCCTCTTTCACTTTCAAGAGGCTTTTTAGTTCCTCCTCACTTTGCCATAAGGGTGGTGTCATCTGCATATCTGAGGTTATTGATATTACTTTAGCCCTAACTCCCATTCTACTATCATAATAATGATAATGTTTTGACAATAAGAATAAATAGTAGTTGTAGCTATCCCTACAGCAACCCCTTTGAGATAGAGAAGTAATCTAGTTGTAGAGGTTACACTTTTGTTCTTAGGATTGTTGTTCAGCCACTAAGTCATGTCTGACTTTGCAACCTCAAGGACTGCAGCATGCCAGGTTCCTCTGTCCTCCACTATCTCCCACAGTTTGCTCAAATTCATGTTCGTTGAGTCAGTGATGCTATGTAACCATCTCTTCCTCTGCCGCCCCTTCTCTTTTTGCCTTCAATCTTTTCCAGGATCAGGGTCTTTTCCAGTAAGTCAACTCTTTCCCATCAGGTGGTCAGAGTATTGGAGCTTTAGCAATAGTCTTTCCAATGAATATTCCGGGTTGATTTCTTTTAAGATTGACTGGTTGGATCTCCTTGCAGTGTGAAGGACTCTCAAGAGTCTTCTCCAGGACCACAATTTGAAGGCCATCAGTTCCTCAGCACTCAGTCTGCTTTATGGTCCAACTCTCACATCTATACATAACTACTAGAAAAACCATAGCTTTGACTGTATGGACCTTTGTCGCCAAAGTGGGGTCTCTCCTTTTGAATATGCTGTCTAGTTTTGTTTCAGCTTTCCTTCCAAGAAGTAAGTGTCTTTTAATTTCGTGGCTACAGTCACCATCCGCAGTTATTTTGGAGCCCCAAATCACTGTCACTGCTTCCACTTCTGTCACTGTTTCCACTTCTTCCTCCATTTGCCATGAAGTGATGGGACCAGATGCCATGATCTTAGTTTTTGAATGTTGAGTTTGAAGCCAGCTTTTTCACTCTCCTCTTTCTCCCTCATCTTTAGTTATTTTTCACTTTCTGCCATTTGAGTGGTATCATCTGCATATCTGAGTTGTTGATATTTCTCCCAGCAATCTTGATTCCAGCTTGTGATTCATCCAGGCTGGCATTTTACGTGATGTACTCTGCACAGAAATTAAATAACCAGGGTGACAATATATAGCCTTGTCGTACTCCTTTCTCAATTTGGAACCAATCAATGTTCCATGTCTAGCTCTCAGTGTTGTTTCTTGAACCACATACAGGTTTCTCAGGAGACATGTAGGTGGTCTGACACTCCCATCTTCTTAAGGATTTTCTACAGTTTGTTGTGATCCACATGGTCAAAGTTTTCTAGGTCCAAATCCTAGCTTTTCACTCCATAGGTGTGTAACTTGAACACATTTGTAACCTCTCTTTGCCTCAGCTTCATTATTTGTAACATGATACTACAAATTATACCTCCTTCCAGTGTTGTTGGGAATGTTAAATAATCACTAAAGCACTTGGAAAAGAACCTAAATGTAGCAGACACTACATATTGTTCTTTGCTATTTTATTATTATTATCCTTATTCTTTTATATGATCCTAATAATAACCTTTAGTATATAAGTATTATTGTTGATTCCTGATGGTTCATGAGGCCCAATATATTTGCTTTCACAAGGTAATTCCAGCAATAGAATTTTTACTTTTTAAGAAAAAGTGATTGCTCTTAATAAATGGGTTGAGATGCCCTGTAGTAGTGGTTATCAAAGTGTGGTCCCTACACCAGAGCATCAACATCACTGGGAACTTGTTAGAATAGCCAATTTTCAGGCCTTATCCTAGACTTATTTGATTTCCTCATTATAAAATAAGAGAGGGAGAGGAATTAATGGTATAACTTTGTTGAGAAAATTAAATAATACAATGCTTTTAATGTACTTAGCATAGTACTCAATAGATGAAACTCATGGTTACTGTGCAATTTCTTACCTATAGCCTTATTTCTTTTGCCTTTTTTTTTATCATTGTGATTTTCTCATTTATTTCTGCATCTGATACAGCATATTTGTTATGGGATCCCGGACTTACAGACCTCCTAATTTACATATAAATTTTAAGATGCTCCCATGAGTTTTGCTTTCTTTTCAAAATATATCTAAATTTTGTATTTAGTTCAATTCAATTCAGTCACTCAGTCATGTCCAACTCTTTGCGACCCCATGAACTGCAGCATGCCAGGCCTCCCTGTCCATCACCAACTCCCAGAGTCCACCCAAACCCATGTCCATTGAGTCAGTGGTGCCATCCAACCATCTCATCCTCTGTCGTCCCCTTCTTCTCCTACCCTCAATCTTTCCCAGCATCAGGGTCTTTTCAAATGAGTCAGCTCTTCGCATCAGGTGGCCAAAGTATTGGAGTTTCAGCTTCAGCATCAGTCTTTCCAATGAACACCCAGGACTGATCTCGTTTAAGATGGACTGGTTGGATCTCCTTGCAGTCCAAGGGACTCTCAAGAGTCTTTTCCAACACCACAGTTCTAAAGCATCAATTCTTCTGTGCTTTGTATTTAGACAGGTTTTAAAATGTATATGTTTTTTCTGTGGGATGAATTCACTCCACTTCATAGATTAATAAATGTATTGTCCTAGATTTATATTTTAGCCCAAAACTTAATGATACTGAAAGGCTTTGTGTCCTTGTAGCCTTCTTTTTAAATTGAAGCATAGTTGATTTACAGTGTTGTGTTAGTTTCTGGTGTACAGCAGAATGATTCAGTTATACACACCCATATCATTTATTACAGGATATTAAATATAGTTCCAAGTGCTATACAGTATGACAGTACTTTTTGTTGGTCTGTCATATATATATGTAGTAGTTTGAATCTGCTAATCCCAAACTCTTAATTTATCCCTCTCCCCACCCCCTTTCCCCTTTTAGTAACCATAAGTTTGTTTTCTATGTCTGTGAGTCTGTTTCTGTTTCATAATAAGTTCATTTGTGTCATATTTTAGATTCCACATAGAAGTGATATCATTTGGTATTTGTCTTTCTATTTCTGACTTACTTCACCTGGTATGATAATCTCAGGCCATCCATGTTGCTGTAGATGACATCATTTCATTCTTTTTATGGCTGAGTAGTATTTCATTGTGTATATATACACATCTTCTTTATCCATTCATCTATCAATGGTCATTTAGGTTTTTTCTGTGTTTGGCTATTGTAATAGTCCTACTTTGAACATAGGGGTGCTTGTATCTTTTCAAATTATAGTTTTCTCTGGATATATGCCTGGGAGTGGGACTGCTGTCTCACATGGCAACTCTATTTTCAGGGTTTGGCTTTTTTTTTTTTTTTTTTTTTTTCAGTTTTTTAAGGAACTTCCATATTGGCTGCACCAATTTACTTTTCTACCAAGAGTGTAGGAGAGTTCTTTTTACTCCACACCTTCTCTAAGCATCTGTTTGTGGACTTTTTCATGATGGTCATTCTGACTAGTGTGAGGTGGTATCTCACTAGATTTGATCTGCTTTTCTCTAATAATTACCCTTGTTGAGCATGCCTTTTTTTTTTTTTAAAGCCAACAACAGGCTGCTGTTATCCAGTTATTAAACGAAGAAATTAAAATAAAGAATGAATCCTTTTTCAGCAGTTCTCATGTGAAAAGGCAATTCTTAAAAGCATTAACACAGTCCCCTAATAAATTAAGAAATTATGCAGAGGAATCTTCTGGTTTTTTCTTTCTTTTTTTTTTTTGAGAATAAATCTATGCTCATTTAAAACTTTTTAATTGATTAATTTATTTATTTAATTTTGGCTCTGCTGGGTCTTTGTTGCTGCATGTGGGCTTTTACTAGTTGCAGTGATTAGGGGGTTCTCTTGTTGTAGCAGGGACTTAGTAGTTGTGGTGCCTGGGCTTAGATGCTTTGCAGCATGTGGGATCTTCCCCAACCAGGGATCGAACCCATGTCCTCTTCATTGGCAGGCAGATCTTAACTACTGGACCACCAGGGAAGTCTGGCATTTTCAGTTTGAAAGACTGACTCCAGAACTAATTAAAATATTTTATGGGTAATTTTGGGTGCTTATGGAAAATTTTAATTCCCTGGTAAGAATGTTAAAATATTGACAATTGAATTTTCTGTTGATGATGATCTGGCAAAATGCTTTCTTTTTTCTTCCTTTCCCTCTCCCTGCTCACATTCCTCCTTCTTCCTTCTTTCCTAGCTCTTGTCGATCAAAAGCAGTGTTCCCAGATCTCCCAGGATAGCAGTTTACCTGTTGTCACCCACTTCTCATTGACATCCAAAATCTGTTTAGAAAATGGTAAGATCCCCTTATGCAACAGTCAGCAACCAGAGTGAGAATCACTTCCATTCTCTGAGTTTGGAAACTTTCTCCCAGCCATCCTCTTGGTATAACCCCAATAAGAGTCAGACATTTAAGTTTATGGATTCCAAGTCAAACTTTTCAAAGGCATCCCCCTCTAATCCAGCCACCTCTGGTTTCTCCACTCCAGTACCCTGGGGTCTTTTTCTTCAGGGTTCTGAGAAATCAGCTTGGGTAACAAGGGTGTTGGACTCCATGCTTCAGGGACTCTTCTTCCAACTCTGGCTGAATTATACAGTTAGACTCATTTCATGCCGTGAAGAAGATGTCACCCCCAGCCCTAAATTCACATGTTCCCTGCCTAGGAAGAAAGTGCTTCTTCTCCTCCGGTGTCCACATAATCTCAGGATATTGGGATTGACTCTGATTAGTCAAGGTAGTGACTCTGATGAGCTCTACTTCAGTTAGGTACCCACCTTATGGCCCAGTGATGGTTGGCTTGAAATTGGAGTAATACTGTTGGTCAAACCTGGGTCTTTGGCTCATGTGTAGTAAAGAACTGTAATTGTCAGCCCAACTTGAGCTGCATGAGATGGAGGTGGCATGATGCCTCAAAGAAAGGGAAGTCAAGTAGTTCCATTATTTGGGAAGAGAAGATTAAGCCTGTCCTTAATCTCATGTTAAGGTGGGGATTCAGTTCAGTTCGGTAGCTCAGTCGTGTCTGACTCTTTGCGACCCCATGAATCGCAGCACGCCAGGCCTCCCTGTCCATCACCAACTCCCGGAATTTACTCAAACTTATGCCCATCGAGTCGGTGATGCCATCCAGCCATCTCATCCTCTGTCGTCCCTTTCTCCTCCTGCCCCCAATCCCTCCCAGCATCAGGGACTTTTCCAACGAGTCAACTCTTTGCATGAGGTGGCCAAAGTATTGGAGTTTCAGCTTCAGTGTCAGTCCTTCCAATGAACACCCAGGACTGATCTCCTTTAGGATAGACTGGTTGGATCTCCTTGTAGTCCAAGGGATTCTCAAAACTCTTCTCCAACACCATAGTTCAAAAGCATCAATTTTGCGGTGCTCAGCTTTCTTCACCGTCCAACTCTCACATCCATACATGACCACTGGAAAAACCATAGCCTTGACCAGACGGACCTTTGTTGGCAAAGTAATGTGTCTGCTTTTTAACATGCTATCTAGGTTGGTCATAACTTTCCTTCCAAGGAGTAAGCGTCTTTTAATTTCATGGCTGCAATCACCATCTGCAGTGATTTTGGAGCCCCCCAAAATAAAGTCAGCCACTGTTTCCACTGTCTCTCCATCTATTTCCCATGAAGTGATGGGACCAGATGCCATGGTCTTAGTTTTCTGAATGATAAGTTTCAAGCCAACTTTTTCACTCTCTTCTTTCACTTTCATCAAGAGGCTTTTTAGTTCCTCTTCACTTTCTGCCATAAAGGATTAGAGGTGAACAAAGTGGGGAGGAGCCAGAATGCCCTGATTCAAAGTTTCACCTGGAGTTATGGCTAAAATGAAGAGCTCATGACTAAGGCAAAAGATCTGGAGACAAAGTAAACACTAAACATTCTCATTGCAAAATAATGCTTTAAAATACCTATGCATAGGGTAAAAAAATCTGGAAGGAGCCACACCAAGATGGTAACAGTGCTTGCGGGATAAGATACCATATCCTTCCCCATGCCACTCTTTATTTTCCAAATTTTCTTCTATATGTAATTTACTGGTTTATTTAATGCATTAGACTTGGAATAAAGAAATAGCAGGTTTTCCTCTTCCCTTAAGTTCCTTGAAGCTGTTGATGGATCCTTCCATATGTTCATTACCAGGGTAGAGTTTTTATAAAGGAAGAATTATAGAGCTCAGAGGCCTTAGAAATCATCTCATTCAGCTCCCGCATTTTACTGATGAGAAAACTGAAGCCCGGAGATGTTGAGTACCCAGACTACTCAGTAGGAGAATCAGGAACTGAACCCAAGTCTATTGACTGCCTATAAAATGTTCTCTCTGATAGATGAGATTCTGTCCTGAGGATTCTAAAATCACAGGATGTGAAGGCATTCTTGAAAGGCCTCTTAATACTTTAGATGTCATCATAGGGGGTTAAAGATATGATCCCTTCAGTGTAAATCCTCCTATAGGAAAGATCATTCTTAATCAGGTAATTATTTGTGCTTTAATATAAATGGATTTGGGTGTTTCTTTTTGTTAATTTTTTTTTACCAGGTAGAGTTTAGTAGACTGATGACTGGATAGGGTCTACTCAATGAGTTCTGACTCAGTATATATTTTGAAATATCCCTTTTGTGTTAATATGTCTGTCCTTTTTTTTAAGGTTTGGTCCTAAGCATCCTTCCTCAAAATTGGAAATTCTAAAATGGAAGACAATTCTTGATACTGCTGTGAAGAAACTACAAGTAGCCATAATGCAAATGTAGGAGCCCTTTGCAGTCTTTAGAATTCTATACTTTTATTAGGTAGCCGATACGGCATGTGGGTGTTAGTTGCTCAGTCGTGTCAGACTGTTTGCGACCCCATGGACTATAACCTGCCAGGCTCCTCTGCCCATGGAATTTTCCAGACAAGAATCCTGGTATGGGTTGCCATTTCCTTCTCCAGTGGATCTTTCTGACTCAGGGATCAATCCCAGGTATCCCGCATTGCAGGCAAATTCTTTACCATCTGAGCCACCAGGGTATAAGCACGAAGAGATGCAGAGCCTATGAGGCTCTGGACAAGTTACCCTATCACTTTGCCTATTGTATCTGTATAAAAATATATACATACTCACAAACCCTTCTCTTCCTGGTAACCCATGGAAAAGTCACTCTGTGGTACAAGACTTACCAGCCAATCAACCTTGTTAGGTAGGCTGTAAAAGATCACATGTGAAGACGATGGGGAGGAGGAAGGGAAGAAATCGGGGAAAGAAAAGCCAGCTATAAGCAAAGCACTGTTCTAAGGAAACATAAAATCAGCCCCTGTGTTCAAGGAACTAATGGAAAACTAAACATCTCAGCAAATTAACGATCAATACATGACAAATCAAACAAATGGGAGGAGGTAGTAACAATAACAAGCACTGGAAAGTGTCTACTTTGTGATGGACAGTGGACCTGCCACTTTACAGATGTTATCTATACTCCTTACAAGGACCGAACAGAAAAGGTCTGATTATCACTTCCAGGTTGTAGATGAGAAAACTAATGTGCCAGGAAATGTGGCAATGCATTGAGTCATATAGCTGGAAAAAGGCAGAGCAGGGGTAAGACCCAGCCCTATCTGACTCCAAAGTCCACTCACTCTCCACCATTCTCTAGTTCTTCACCAGGCTGCTGGTGTGAAACTCACCACTTATCACTTTGGGGATTGTATTTTAAATATAATATATACTTGAAAGTCAAAGTGAAAGTCGCACAGTCATGTCCAACTCTTTGTGACCCCATGGACTAAAATAAACAGAATTCTCTAGGCCAGTTCTGGAGTGGGTAACCTTTCCGTTCTCCAGGGGATCTTCCCAACCCAGGGATCGAACCGAGATCTCCTGCATTGCAGGTGGATTCTTTACCAGCTGAGCCACAAGGGAAGTCCAAGAATACTTGAGTGGGTAGCCTATCCCTTCTCCAGCAGATCTTCCCCACCCAGGAATGGAAGCGGGGTCTCCTGCATTGTAGGTGGATTCTTTACCAATGAACTATCAGGGAAGCCCAATATATGCTTAGTATTTAAAGTATTTAATGCTATGTACATGTAAAAGAAAAAAGTAAGTCACAAAATGAAATGTGTTTAGATGAGAAGCAAATAAGTTTTGACTTTTAATAAACCTAAATTAAGAGAGATCTTATAATAAAATGTCAAATTCTTTTTTTTTTAATTAAAAAATGTTTTTGGCCACACAGCATGCAGAATCTTAGTTCCCTGACTAGGAATCGAACTCCTACCCACTGGGGTATGAGCACCAAGTTTTAACTGCTGGGCCATCAGGGAAGTCCAAACAATATCAAATTGTTATTTAGATTTTTCTGAAATCTTGGCTCTTTCCTACTCTGGACAAGAATCGACCAGTTTGTGCAACACAACTGGGAAAGGAAGACCTGCATCCATCTGACTTGGTCTCTGTTAATGATGTCTCTCCCACCAAACTCCTTTAAGGAACAGGAGAGGCAGAGCAAGCACCAGAGTTCAGATCTTGGTGAGCAATAAGATGTTAAAAATATTGTTCTGAAAGTTCCTGGTGATTTAATTGATAAAGAGTAAGTTTGAGTGAAATTTTCTAAAAATTGAAATCAGGGTTAAAATTTTTAATGTAATTTAAATTAGTAAATTTAGTATTTAAACTTATACTGCATTAAAACACCTACATGTGGTATTTAACTCTTACTATTGTTCAGTTATCAATGTTTTGTTTTAAGATTTTTTTTCCCATTGTTTTTATAACTGGAAAAAACCTTTCCTTACTTTCAAGTTAGATAGCTCTATCCTATTTTTTTATTTCTTTTTTCTACATTTAGCTGGAAATTTTGCTGTGTATGCTGTGAGGTAATGAGATTCAAGTTTTATTCCTCCCATGCCAGTGATAATGACAGCTAGTATTTATTGAGTGCTGATAATGATAGTTAGGGTATATTAAGAGATCATTTTGCACAGGGCACTACATGAAGCAATTTATTGACAGATGCCTTCGTGAGTAAGTCACTGTTTTTATACCAAGGTCAGAGAGCTAATAAGTGGGTAAGCTTCTGTATAGGCTTAGGTTTATTGGATACCAAAGCCTGTGCATTTAACCATAACACTGTATTACCTCTTTGCAGGCTTTTATTGAATACATCCTCTTGTTATCCACTAATTTGGGTTCTCAATCTAATGATAGCTCCAGTTTCATATACACTAGTATGCTTTTGAGCTGTCTATTCTATTTCATTGATCTGCCCATTGAGATTTCAGCTATTTTTTAAATTTAATTGAAGTATAGTTGATTTACAATGTTGTATCAATCTCTGCTGTACCTAAGGTGACTTGGGCTTCCCTGATGGCTTAGTGGGTAAAGAACCTGCCTGCAGGAGATGTGGAAGACTCATTCGATCCCCAGGTTGGGAAGATCCCCTGGAGAAGGAAATGGCAACCCTCTCCAGTATTCTTGCCTGGGAAATCCCATGGAGAGAGGAGTCTGGCAGGCTACAGTCCATGGCATTGCAGAAGAGTCAGACACGACTGAGCAACTGAGCACAAAAAGTGACTCAGTTATATACATATAGACATTTTTTTTTAAATATTCTTTTCCATTGTGGTTTATCACAGGATACTGAATATAGTTCCCTGTACTATACAGTAGGACTTTGCTGTTTATCCATCCTATATATAATAGTTTATATCCGCTAATCCCCAACTGCCAGTTCTTTCCTCTACCATGCCTCTCCCCCTTGGCAACCACAAGTCTTCCCTGGTGTCTGTGAGTCTTTTTCTGTTTTGTAGATAGGTTCATTTATGTTATATTTTGTGCATGCATGCTAAGTCACTTCAGCTATGTTCGACTCTTTGCAATCCTGTGTACCATAGCCTGCCAGGCTCCTCTGTCCTTGGGATTCTCCAGACAAGAATACTGGAGTGAGTTGCCATGCCCTTCTTCTGGGGATCTTCCTGACCCAGGGATTGAATCCACATCTCCTGTGGTTCCTGCACTGCAGGTAGATTCTTTACCACTGAGCCAATGGGAAGCCCATTTTAGATTTTAGATTCCACATATAAATGATATCATATGATATTTATCTTTCTGTTTCTGATTTACTTTACTTGGTATGTTAATCTCTAGGCCCATCCATGTTGCTGAAAATGGCATTACTTCATTCTTTTTTATGGCTGAGTAGTATTCCATTGTGTATATGTACCACATCATCTTTATCCATTCGTCTGTCAGTGGACATTAGATTGTTTCCTTGTCTTAGCTATTGTGAATAGTGATGCTGTGAACATAGGGGTTCGTGAATCTTTTCAAATTATAATTTTGTATGTGCCCAGGCATCTGTTCCCCGCACTTCATGGCAAGTAGAAGGGGAAAAAGTGGAAGCAGTGACAGATATTATTTTCTTAGGCTCCAGAATCACTGTGGATGGTGACTGCAGCCATGAAATTAAAAGATGCTTGCTTCCAGGAAGGAAAGCTATGATAAACCTAGACAGCATATTATTAATAAAAAGCAGAGCCGTCACTTTGCTGACAAAGGTCCATATAGTCAAAGCTATGGTTTTTCCAGTAGTCGTGCATGGATGTGAGAGTAGGACCATAAGGAAAGCTGGGCACCAAAGAACTGATGCTTTCAAATTGTGGTGCTGGAGAAGACCCTTGAGCGTCCCTTGGACTTTAAGGAGATCAAACCAGTCAATCCTAAAGGAAATCAGTCCTGAATATTCATTGGAAGGACTGATGCTGAAGCTCCAATACTTTGGCTACCCGATGAGAAGAACCAACTCATTGGAAAAGACCCTCATGCTAGGAATTTTGAAGGCAAAAGGAGAAGGGGGTGGTAAAGGATAAGATGGTCAGATAGCATCACTGACTCAGTGGATACCAATTTGAGTAAACTCTAGGAGATAGTGGAGGACAAAGGTGCCTGGTATGCTACAGTCCATGAGGTTGCAGAATCAGACACAGATTAACAACTGAACAGCAACAAATGTGCCCAGGAATGGGATTGCTGGATCATATGGTAATTCTTAGTTTTCTGAGGAACCTCCAGACTGCTCTCTATAGTGGCTGGACCAGTTTGCATTCCCACCAACAGTATAGGAGACTTCCCTTTTCTCCACACCCTCTCTAGCATTTGTTTTTTGTAGACATTTTAATGATGGCCATTTTGACCAGTGTAAGATAATACCTCATTGTAGTTTTGATCTGCATTTCTCTAATAATTAGTGATGTTGAGCATCTTTTCATATACCTTCTGGCCAGCTGTTTGTCTTCTTTGGCAAGATGTCCATTAAAGTCTTCTGCTCATTTCTTGGTTTGTTTTTTTGTTGTTTTCACTGAGTTAAATGAGCTGTTTGTATAGTTTGGAGATTAAGCCCTTGTCTGTCACATCATTTGCAAATATTTTCTCTCATCCTGTAGGTTGTTTTTCCAGTTGTTTTTTTTTTTTTTTCTGGTTTCTTTTTGTTGTGCAAAATCTTGTTAAGTTTGATTAGGTCCCATTTGTTTATTTTTGCTTTTCTATTGCCTTAGTTGACTGACCTGAGAAAACATGGATATAATTTATGTCAGAGAATGTTTTGCCTGTGCTCTCTTCTAAGAGTTTTATGGTGTAAATCCATGGCTGATTCATGTCAATGTATGACAAAACCCACTACAATATTGTAAAGTAATTAGCCTCCAACTAAAAAAAAATAAATGGAAGAAAAAGAGTTTTATGGTGTCATGTCTTATGTTTAAGTCTTTAAGTCATTTTGAGTTTATTTTTTTTTTGTAAGATATGAGGGTGTGTTCTAGCTTCATTGATTTACATTCATCTGTCCAACTTACCTAGCACCACTTGTTGAAGAGACTGTCTTTTCACCATTTTATATTACTTCCTTTTTTAAAGATTAATTGACCATGGGTATGTGGGTTTATTTTAACTATTTTAATTATTTAGGTTATATAGTATGAGACAGGCAGCTGTGATGGTAAGAAAGAATCCTTGAAGCCAAAATCCCAGCTCCATCAACTCATGTGACCTTGGGAAAGTCACTTAGTTGCCCTTTGCCTCATTTTCCTCATCTGTAAAACAGGGATAATCTTAGTAGCTACCTTTTATAGTTGTTGTAAAGATTCCTAGCACAAATAGGCATTCAATAAATATTAATTATTACTGTCTTAGTATCTGGTACAGCAAATCTCCTCTGGTTACTCTTTCTACTTCAAAGCATCTTAATCAGTTTCACCAACTCATTCTTCCCAGTGAATTATAGAATTAGTTTTTCAAGTTTAAAAAAAGGCCTCAGAAGATATGGAGCAGGCAGCATATTTTAATGAAAAGGAAACTAAACTTGCAGGGGGCATTTTGTACTCTATGTACTTTCCACTCGATTCTGCTGTGAACCTAAAACTCTCTAAAAAATATGTCTTTTTAAAAATTGAAAGGAAAAGAACTTGGAGTCAGAACACCCAAGTTCTTTAATCCGTGGGCATGAGATCTTGGGTAAGATCCTGAACTCCCTGAACCTCTGTTTCTTTAGCCATTTAGAGATAATAATATGTGTTCTGCTGCTTACCGTAACATGTTGTGACACAATATATATAAACATGCTTTATAGACACTAAAGCACTAAGCAAGTAAAAAGCATTCTTTAATAATAATCCAATACCATCAGAAGTGGTTGCTTGTAACAAATAGGTTTAAAACTAAGACAGGATAGCTTGGCAGAGTAGATGGAAGAGGCAAATTTTACTGGAACATAGCAACAGGGATGAGTGAGATGCTTTTATACATGACCCACAGTAATAAACTGCATCAAGGGAGTGATTTTGAAACAATGAGACTTGCCTTGGTAGAATTGGTAGAATCCATTCTCAAGGGATCTGTCATATACAGGATCCAAGTTTTTTAAAAAGCACATGTAATTTTACAGTTTTTGCATTACAAAACATTTCTGTAAGAAAAGTGACCTAATACTAACATCCCCTGATTACCAGGCTGATAGATAGTAATAGCATGGAGATTAAATAAATGCTTGCTGAACAAAATGCAATTTTACGCAAGTCAGAACTATCAGCCGTTTTACCCTACCAAATTTCTACCACATTTGCTTAACATTATAGAAGTTTAATATCAAGTCAGGCCCAGAGAAATTGAAGGCAGAAAGAAAAAAGTCTCTAATTTTATTGGCAGATCCACACTAGGATACACTATGGATTTATCACAGGAAGTCTAGTCTGACAAACATAGTTTGAACCTTCCCATCCCAGACCAGACAGATCCCAGGGCACTCCATATGGCAGAGCACGTTCTCTAGACCAGGTCTACCTAGAGCTGCTCTCTGGGCCTGAATCTGGGCTGTAACTAATGAAGCTCTTATATTCACTGTTAGAGTATGGTGATGCAAAAATACTAGTCTGCCAATTTCAGACTTGCCTCTACCCATTCATTTGCTTGTGACCTGAGGTACAGGGTCTAATGTCTGTTAAGGTTTAGAGCCCAAGCTTTGGAATCCACACAACTTTCATGCTCCCATTTGCCAACCATGGAACTTGGGACACTTAGTTTCTCAAGCCTTACTTTCCTCATAAGAGATGGAAATCCTACTAGAATCTACCTTATAGAGTTGTTGGAATAATGTAGCTAAAAGCACAATCTGTAGAACAGTAACTCTTATTTAGTGATTTTTGATCCCTTTTCTATGCTTTGTTTCCTTCATCTATAGAACAGGATTAGATATTCTCCAGATAATCCTTCAGTTCTTAGAATCAATGAATGCCCCCACCATGTGGAATTTAGCTTACTGTTAGATTCATAGACCAATTTGATTCAAGATGATTTGAGATGTAGTTCCCTTTCTATTTCAGCCTCTGTCTTTGAATAGTCTAGATACTAAAAGTCTGAGATAACTGGGTAGCTTCTGACTTAGAAAATGACTGTTCCTTAAATCCTGACAATGATTTTTCCTAGGAATAACCAGCCATCTGAAACTCCAATAAACCATTTTGTGTAAGTATCAGGGATTTTCTGTTTTTAGAAAATATTTATTCATTTATTTATTTGCTTCAAGTTGCTTCAGTCTTAGTTGCGGCACTCAGGATCTTCGTCGCATCATACCGGGTCTTTGGTGGTGCACAGACTCTCTAGCTGTGGTGTGTGGGCTCAGTTGCTCTGTGGCATGTGGGATTTTAGTTCCCCTGTCAGGGATCTAATCTGCATCCTCCTCTGCATGGCAAGGTGGATTCTTAACCACTGGACCACCAGGGAAATCCAAAGACACTTTTGTTGAACTTGCCAATTTGGTGATAATTATCATCTGCTGGAGAATCCAGAGGTCAACTTCTGGGCCTTGGGCAAGAGGAGAGCAGATCACTAGCAAAACTTTGAGAAAAGGCAGAGATGAAGTAGTCCTTACTGGCACGGGAGGCTGACTAGAGTCACACAATGACTGAAAGACTCTTTATCTAGGGGTCTGTTAAAGGGATTACAGAAGGAAATGCTGCTTTAAAAATTGCAATGGAGAACTTTACTGGATCTTAGCTGCCTATTAAGTGTTTGAGTAATGTGGGGTTTATATAAATATAGGAGATTTGGCACTGGAGTTTTTTGCCCTATAGCTTTTGTATCTTAAATATTGGTAAGGAGGAGGACTATGTCTTTTTTTTTTTTTTTTTCAATGATTTATAGGGTTTACCTGGAGGAGAGGCAACCCATTCCAGTATTCTTGCTTGGAGAATCCCATGGACAGAGGAGACTGGTGTGTTATGGTCTAGGGGTTACAAAGAACTGGGCACTACTGAAGCAACTTCGCAGTA